GTCCTAAGGATTCAAATAGGTAATACGAGGCCCCGTTCGTCACACCCACTGTGGCAAGACAGAAGGGAGAGAGAACAAGCGTTTTAATTTGTTGTGCATTACCGTATTCCAGAGAGCCCAAAGGCGGGAGGAATGGAGACGAAAATGCTATCGATCAGCCAGACTAAAGTAGTTATTCGATAGAAAACAGGTGATTAATGATTAGATGCTCGACTACATCACCAGTAGAAAAGTAATTTGTATTTCATACAGCCGAAATAAGAAGGTTCGTGATGAGTTTTGTGCAGGTCTATTTCGAGTGATGTCTACAACACTATCGCCGAATCCCGTCTCATGATACGTTCCCAACGATAGTTCCACATCCATGGGAGTTTTCAGGGGAAAAGGAAGCTTCTCCTGACACTATGGTACATAAACAGCGGTAGTTTCAGTTATCAGTTTGTAAAAACTTGAACCATGAACCTTCATGAGTCGGTTTTGGTTGCTGTTTATTTTGGTTGACAATTTGGATGAAGCAGTAGGAAAAAGACAAGAAAGTTGAAAGTGGAATGAAAGAGAAAACGGAGAATCTAAGTGGACTAAGGTTGTATAGAAATCGAGAGAGCACCACTGCTCACAAAATATCAATCAGTGTCTCTAACCACAGGTTACCACGATCTCGATGTCCCCATCTCGGGAGCCTAACGCGACCTGTATAACTGGTTGACGTATATCAGTATTCATGATGGAGTACCGCGTGCAATAAGTGTGCCAGATATTGCACAAAAGGAGATTTTGATAAAGTGAGAGTCATCAGTGTGATGTCATTTAAGCTCACCTCGCAAAACACCTTAAGCAAACACAAACACGCAGCACAATAATCTCCTAGATAGACACTCCCCGCTTGGAAAAAATGACGTTTGATGAATGAATTGACCACATGTGCTGCTTGCCACAGCGTGAAAATGCACTTATGCAAACTACTCAGCAATCCATTTATATCTCCTTTTTCAGTTACAAAATTAAATTAAATTCCTAATACTTACTGAGACAATATAAATAAGCAGAATAATGTTCCACTTTAACCATAAAGGCTGAAAGACCAGAGTGCTCAGTTCAGTTCAGTTTTCATAACCTCTAACCTTACACTTTCGCGCGCCAGTTGTGGTTGCTGTTTTGACGGTCTACAAATAAGGAACGAGCAATCGATGTAGACAGGTCGAGAGTAGTAACAAGCTAAAATGTTAAACAAACAGACACGTTAGATCTGTATAGAAAGTGCAAGTAAAGGCAGAAAGAACATCGTCTGTGGCACTCAGACGCACCACATATTGCATTCAACCTTCAGAAAGGCGATGAAACAGAAATCGTTCTATACCACAACAACTTGTCTGCATAGGACAAAGGAATAAGATCCATTTCAATGAAAACTTACTCGGGGCACCAAACTTTGAGGCATTCGTGCTCGTAGGGTGCAATAGAAGAACGCTTTGGATTCCACGTCCCCGAACCGCGCATCAAGTTCTTCAGGATTTGACCAGTTCTCTGCATCGTGTTCTTCTTCGAACGGTTCATCTCTGAACAAGATTTGTGGATGATAGAGCAAGAGTGGGGCGTGTTTGGACGAGAGTAAGTTCAACTGCACACCCAGACGCACACGACGAGCCCAGAACGGACTGGACAAGCATACAGTTTGTGCAGCCACCGCCGCTGCGGCACCCGTGGGCACATTCAATGCGTACTCAATCTCGAATTCGATCAAAAGTTTTTTTGAATTACGCAAATTCAAACCACATTCGTGATCCAGGTGTTTCTTACCATCCGCGGTGGTGAGCAAATAGGACAGGCGATCCCAAAATCGTTCAGAGCGAAACCCGAGCCAGATTAGACCACATTCAGTGGCACACATTGGTTCCAGCCCAGTTTCGCTTGTATCTCCACTGTATGAATTGCCCGGAGTGAAGACTTCATTGTTTGTAACAGACAGGGGTAGCTGACAGAGGATGAGCAAAACGAATAAACCATTATTTAAATCTGTCAGAGAAAGATAGCGAATAAGCCTGTCCTTTGGCTAACAAATTGCATTTTTGGCACGGAAAAAAATCACCACAGAATGAGAAGAAATCACATTTCAGTTCGATGACCGGGTGTTGTTCACACTTAGGTCATCGCACATTTGCTCGGGTAATATGGACGGATCGAGAAATGACTACCTCATGTATGGTGATGGTCATGGATAACCCAATGTCCTTACGAATTATTTTTGTCAGTAACGGAGGTGGCGTTGTGTAGGTGGATTTCGATCGTTTCTGCAGTGGTCAAAATGTGACTCCTAATCTTCCTAGATCGGCTATTGGGAACTAATAAGAGGGGCGAAAAGTATCCGTCAGGTTAACCACGTGACATGGAATGTGATCAGTGGCAAACTGTTTTGTCTTACCCAAAGGACATTCAGACGGAATAGGAAGACAACTGAAGCATCATAATTAAAGATAGAATTTAATAACATTCACTAGTATTCCGTAGGCAAACATTTTGAAAAGCCTTTTTCCGGTCAATGCAACTGGGTTTCGACTGACTGATGAAATCCACGACTGATTCAAAGTGTAATCGTTGCCGAGCGTCACATTTCGGATGAATGAAGTTCCAGTGCAAGTTATGAACATAAGGTTAGAAAACCAGAAAATCTGAAGGATAGCTAGTTTCCCTTCACAGACAAGTATCTATAAATATATATCGAAATTTTTCATGGAAATATAGTTTTCGGTTTCAACGGAAAAAAATGTTTTCACAGGTTGATTTGTTCAGACGTTAAAGGTGGAGCCGTCTAAAATAAAGTTTGGGGGAAACGGGCATCAAATGGTTATTGGGGAACGTTCCCTGCCAATCATGTGTGAACGAAATTTGTTTCAAAAGAAGCATAAAGTCTGAAGAAAGTCTAAACATAGAACAATTTTATCAGAAGGAACTGTGCACAAATCCGTAGCCTCGGTGATATTCGTACTTCAGCATCGACGCCGACTAAACGTGTGTATAGCTTCTTCTTTTTGCTCGTCGCAAATTCCGGAGCACACTTTTTTCTCATACCTACCATTTCTATCTATTTAAGGGCGGCCTCCAACTCAAATGACCACTCTGAAGTATGGCACCGCCTTTCCCTACCAGATAATTTTTCTCCATTATACGACCTCCTAATATTAATAACGGGAGCCGAGTCCCAGGTCCAGGGACCTTTACTTCATAATTCACCACAGGAAGTGGTTTTCATCAGAGTAGCCCCCTCTATCCTTTTCTATTTATCTTCGCTGCAGATTTTATAATGAAAATAGCCCTGTCATCGTGGGAGGATAAAGCATGTGTTTGCTCCCGGGTGACAGACCGTCCAACCAAGAGTATGCTAACAGCAGCTAACTGTTAAGTGAAAATCTGAGTGGGTTGCACGCTGTTATGGATAGTTTGAGTGCTAGTGGTTTTGCAACACTGTTGTTACAGGACATAGTTGTTTCAGCTCCTGAACTCATTCTAACTTTGGAAGTAGTGAAGGGAGCTCGATGAGTTTTGCTACTTGAACAGCTACATCTGATCCGGCGGACAAATCTTGGATGAAACGTCAGATGGCATAAAGAAGGCTCGGTTGGCATTTACCAACTTCAGACATCTGTGGCGCCGTCGCGACATTCGGTTGTTCAGGAAGCAGTTCAGCCAGTGCTGCTATACGGCGCCGAAACTTGCCCATTACTAGGACGAGATAAAGATGGGCTGTCGGTGTTCGAACATTGCCTTTTAAGTAGCATCGCATGAATCTGGTGGGGAAACTGGACAAGCGATGCCGAGGATAGGTGCAGAGTTTTAGGTAGCCACGGTCGCCCACTGGAGTAGTGAATGACCGCCACTGATTGCGTTGTTTGAGGCACGGGTTGCAAATTTCACCAAGTAGATCGCCACTGTGCGCATTGTTTGCCGAGACTAGTGATGGGTAGAAAAGATAAAGGGTGATCAAATTAAGATCTGCATGAGGGTATGGAAACCCTGACCAGGAGACTTGCTCAGATAGGTCACGTTAGGCCCCATGGATGGGATATGGAGATCAGTGGTCAGACATACTGAGTGATACTTTTGAAGGTCGTAAACAGTAGCGCTCGGGTATCTTTTGGATCTCTTTGCAATCTTGGACTTCATGGATTCTCTATTTTCACTCTGACGTTGATATTATTATATTTATGTTATATTTCATACATGTGTGAGTCCATACTATGTGCCAAATAAATCACAGTTCAATGATATTAGTTAAAAAGAAAAAGCGTTTCATTACACTGATTAGATCATTCCAATCCTCTCTTTACACCTTCATTCAGATGGGCAATCAGGACAAAATAATCAAAACCGCCGTACGAAAGTGCATAGTTAATAGTGGCAAAACTGAAAATGATTTCACCCAACTCTTTGGACACACCGTCCGTTATTCGTTGTACTCTCACGTGCATTCCAATTATATCATTATCTGACTTTGTTGTGAAATGCTACTTAAATTTATGAGTAGTAAGCAGAAAGAAGCGGTTGTCAGTTTCTTTCAACGATCAAAGATGAACAAGACCTCTTGGAGCGAATTGCTGTATTCGAAATGATAACTACGGTCTGTTCTATTCATTATCTTATGTACTACCGGGAATTAAGATGGCATGTTCAAAATGAGATACAGTTTATATGTAGGCCGAATTATTCATACCCTAACTCTGGTTTGTAATAAAAAACTCTCCTTAGGCGAGTATCGGTTTTCTGGGATCATAACACTTCCACCATTCTCTCTACCCACTCGATCGAGGGAAAATTTCTGAATTATCTGCACAGTGTAGGAAAACCAGGGCATTGTGTTTGTGCATGTATGTTCCCGCCTTGATCAATCACTTTTCCTGTAGCTATTATATCCAGTGTTCGGAAGGACTAGTAAATGGTCAACATCTTGCATCATCCGTAAACATCCTGGGCGACGGTTCAACACGGGGAGGGGGGAGAGAGTTCGAAATGTCTGACGGGTAGTTTGTTTTTCAATCATTGATTGATTGTTCATACAAAGCTTTCGCATTAGCATGTATTGTATAACTGTTCACAACCTTGATTATAAATCATTCAAAATTGCCGCATTGAATAAGCACCCTACGGACCCTATACAGAACATACTAACAAAAGGCTTTTGACCCGGAATAAAGTTCAAACAAGGACGATCGCAAGCTGGTACCCAAAGCGAGTTATACATTTCCGCTCATTAGTGCATATAAACTCGAGCCTTTTGATTCAATCTCCGTTACATACTTGGATTTGTGTGGATCACTATTTTACTCTAAAATTGGTAGGGACAGTGACGACGAAAAGCGAATAGAGTAGCGAGAAACAAAAACAAAAATATTGCCTTTAGGATTATACTACTGACAAATATATAAGTAGGCAGAAGTTGAACTAACGTTTTCACGAATGGCATCCATCCCAGTGCAATTCACAATTTCATCTACAGTTAACTGAAGTTTGTCCAACAACTGTTTGGTGCCTGACGTTGGTCGGAGGGTAGCACGAAACACGTTTAAATAGCGTATAATGGATGAAGACGCTATTGGGGGCATGTAACCTTCATCTCGGACAAACAGTAGCAGCGGCATCCAACGTACTTCATACGGATACAAGCTGACATCAACCTGGGAGGAACAAACGGAAGAAAAACAGACAAAATAAATGCGGCGAACAGATAATGCAGTTCATGTTTACTGGAAAACACATTGGGTAACTGAATGATAATCGGTGAAAATTTCAGTTCCGTTATATGAACTCTTTTCAAACTGGACTAAAAGCACTTAGATTATTATAATTGGTATAATTCTCAAATAGAACAAGGAGTGGCGAACAAGCTCGTTTTCAGTGATTCGTAGTCATGCCAAAT